TCGGTGTTTACATAGTCATAGCACAAACTATTCTGTGGCTCTAGAAAGATCAGTCAACATGCTCAAAAAACTCTGGCAGTATGGGACTCTGTTCTGAAAATGGCTGCCAGTCAATGAGTTAATTTCATTTATTTTGATACATGATATGGTTTAACAATGTTTACATTCATAAACATGCATCATGTTTAAAAAAGGAGCAGGATGAAGCATAAGCTTATTAAGCCCTACCCCTCAGTCACATGAGTCATGGTGGTAAAGGACAATTACTTACAGTAAAACCAACTTTTTATACTTTACTCTTTTTTGTATTCATCAAAAATACTTTTCTTATATTTATCTGACCCCACTGTAACGGCCTCCTGGAGCCGGCTGCTCTGAGGTCTACTGAAAGAGCTAAATTATTCCATTAGTATTCTCTGTTTAGCCGTCTCTATCCTGACCATTATGTGGAATCAGTGGCAAGGCAAGGCAAGTTTATTTGTATAGCACATTTCGTGTACAAGACAATTCAAAGTGCTTCACAGAGAATTTAAAAGCAGAAAAACAAGAAAAGAAAAATAATCAACACAATAAAGACAGTGGAAATTTTCAGTAACGTTATGTGTGTTTAAAGTCGTTTTACTCCTCATTCTCATAAGGATCCGAATGCTTCATGTTTCAGGACTTCATATTAATTTATTTCCACTTTGAAGCAGCCTAGATCAGAAGGTAGCAGCTAGATTTGAGCAGCACTAATTCTCTTTTTTTTGTCTGCAGAGAAACAAAAGTTGTTTTTCCTTATTGAATTTGGAGTCATGATATTTAATTCTGAATTAGCTTAAACTTAATGATGTCATCAATGCATTTAACCCATCACACCAGTGTGTAAGACGCATCTCAAAGTGTTCCCAGACTCTTTCCATGCAGAAACATGTCTTAATTAGGGAGTTTTCCCTCCAGAGAAAGCTGTTTACTCTGAATAGACTCTGTCCAGAAGCCGTCTGCCTTTTTCTGCCTCATCTGAAGCTTTTAGATGTGGTCAGAGGCTCCACGTTTCCCAGAGTCCTGATTGGTATTCTACAGTTTTGCCTGTAACATGGACTGCTGGCTGATGGGGTCTTTCTCTCCCCCCCCCCCCCCCCCCAGGTGAAACGGGAGGTGGGGGACGTCAGCATCCTGGTGAACAACGCCGGCATCGTCACGGGGAAGAAGTTCATCGATGCTCCAGACTCTCTGATCGAGAAAACCATGGAGGTCAACATCATGGCTCACTTCTGGGTCAGTCAGATCTGTGTCCACTCACCAGTTTCTCATTCTGTGTTTGTCCATAATGTGAACAGTAACGCTGATCTATGGAGACTTTAAGACTGATCAATCAATCAATGTTTATTCATATAGCACTTTACAACAACCGGAGCTGACCAACGTGCTTTACAGAATAAGAACAGATCAAACTATCGAAATATACAAACACAAACACATTGGTGACAGAACCCAGTATACAGAGATTTTACGTGCAAAAAGCCATCCTGAACAAATGCGTTTTAAGGTGAGCTTTGGACAGAGGCAGGTCTGCACTGAATGAACGTAACTCAGTGGGCAGAGAGCTCCACAGTTTAGGTCACTGCAAAAGAGTGAAGTGGTCTGCTGGGCTGGTGAAACCTCAGGATTTCACTAATACACAAAGGCGTGAGGCCATTAACTGCTCCAAAAACAAACAGGAGTATTTTGGATTGAATTCTGTACTGTATGGGGAGCTGTGTGGGGGGTGGACAGGAGTGATGTTGGTGTGATACTTATCTGTCTCTAAACAGTAATGTCCGGCTGGAGACGTTCAGCTTTCCTCCTGAGGATGCTGAAGTTTTCTCTAGAATAGATCTGAACGTGTTCTGGTGTCTTTTTTAAGACTGACCGGCTGGAGACGTTCAGCTTTCCTCCTGAGGCCGCTGATGTTTCCTTTAGAACAGATCTGAACGGGTTCTGGTGTGTTTTCTCAGACCTACAAGGCTTTCCTCCCGGCCATGATCGCCAACAACCACGGCCACCTGGTCAGCATCGCCAGCTCCGCCGGCCTCATCGGGGTCAACGGACTGGCCGGTACGTCCTGTTATCATCTAAAAACCACCTACCCCCCCCCCCCCCCAGGGGTTACAATTTTAGATAATCTTGTTCTTCAATATGGAATCTTATTAATGTATTTTTTTCATTTTATTCCACTAGTTGAGGGATTTTATCTTATTTCTTTCTATTGGATCTAAATTCCACCAATTTTGTCTTCAGTATATTTTCTGAAAACAGGATAAACCGGGGTTAGTATTATGAGTTAGTTAGTTATTCACACATGAGTTTGAATTGAATCCTGTACTGTATGGGGAGCTGTGTTTCAACTTCTGTTTAAACCAGGGGTTTTCCTCGGTTGATACAATGGAAATGTGACTTCTGAAATTGAATATTGAGTGAAAATCTCTCTCATACAGTGGGGGAAATAAGTATTTGAGCCCTTGCAGATTTTGCAGGTTTGCCCACTTACAAAGAATGCTTATTTTTCCTCATCAGATGGTTATCAATTTTTATAAATTCATATGATGTGATTTTCTGGAATTTTCTTTGGGATTCTGTCTTTCACTGTTAGAATGTACATATGATTAAAGTTATAGATCGTTGCATTCTTTGTAAGTGGGCAAACCTGCAAAATCAGCAAGGGGTCAGACACTTATTTCCCCCACTGTATATTTCTGATGAGGTTCTGACGGGTCAACAGCATGTAAACAGAGTTTCTCTGTGTGTGTAGACCCGTGAGAACAGAGTGTCTTTTGGCCGTGTGCGTGGATCCTAACTTCTGCTCTTTGCTCCTCCTGGTGCTCTGGTTCCAGACTACTGCGCCAGTAAGTTTGCAGCCGTGGGCTTTGCAGAGTCGGTGGGTCTGGAGCTGGTGGCTACGGGAAAAAACGGAGTGAAGACCACCATCGTGTGCCCCTACTTCATCAACACCGGCATGTTCGACGGGTGCCAGACCAAGTGGGTTTCTGTTTGAGTAAAAATCTAAAACCCAAAGGCTGACCTCAGGGCTTAAAGCTCAGTTTGAACCCCTCACATAAAGCGTCTTTATTTCCTATCTCTGGACTTATCACCTCTTTCTGTCCTCAGGTGTCCGAGCATCCTGCCCATTCTTAACGCTGAATACGTGGCCAAGAAGATCCTCCACGCGGTCCTCACAGACCAGGTCTACCTGATGCTGCCCAAGAGCATTTACCTCATAGCAGCTCTGAAGAAGTGAGTCTGGAGCTCTGCTCTTTGCCTTTTGTTCCCGGCCCAACCGGGCGTTAACATGGAGAATTAACATGGACATTAACTTCCATTTCCCTAACCCTAACCCTGTAGAAGGCACCAGCCAGAACCCCACATCTTTGACTTTTCTCCCTCTTCAGTCTGTGGTCCCTTTAATTGAGGATAATAGCTGTAATTCTCTATTTGAATCATTTTGGTTTCTTGGAAACGGCTCGCACAAATGAACCGTTCTTCGCCTGTCACCTCTATTGTGCTGAAGGCTTTAATGATGCATTGTCTCATCCAGCGTTTCTGAACACGGCCTTTGTTTGGGCCTCATTAGCATTCAGAAGCAGCTCGTATTCAGTCATTTAGAGGCAGCCCAGACATCATCCTATTGAATAAAGCCTATTTGCTAGAGCGTTCTCTATTCAGAGCTGTTTTGAAGTTTATTTTTGTTCTTCTGAGGGAAGTCTGACAGGTTAGGAGAAGGCTGTCCCCGATGAATGGAAGCACCATGTCTTTATTAGTGGGAGTCTGATGTAATCACAGACGGTTACCAAACATTATGCAGAAAACTCAACTATTCCAAGTGCAGAATAACATGAAAATGACATTAGAACCTGCCTCTTTGTTCCCCATATGGCTGCATGTATGTGAATGTGTGAATATAAAGTAGACACACACACACATAACTGTGTGTTTCAGAAACCACTCCTCAGTCTGAGTACTAACGAGAGTTTGCATGTGTCCCTGCAGCATCCTGCCCATGAAGCAGGGCATCCTGCTGGGCCAGTACCTGGGAGCCTTCAACGTCATGGACGACTTCAGGGGGCGCTCAAAAAAGCAGGAGTGAGACAAACCTGCAGCCGGAAAACCATCAGAAGCTCCCAAACGGAGCACAGGCTCCACCCTTTATACGACCAGTATATGACCACTATGAGGGAAAATAGTTTATATCTGGGGATAAATGAGCTCAGTCATAAGAAGCAGACGGACAGAATATGCCTTTTTAAACTTTCCAGTACTGCCTTAATAATGCTTCCATAAATTCCAACAACCTTCCTCAATTTTATGATTACATTTCCTCCTTAAGATTACCTCATTATTTTTCTTTATTATGATGAGTTATTCAAGCTGTATTCCATCACTGTAACTCTTTTAGAAATATTGCATGTAAACGATCCTCCTTATTCCCTCAAACCTTCCTCACACATTACATCTTCTAAACTAACTGCATGAGAGTGGAGAGCCTCCACAGATGGATAATCCTAGTTTATCTGTGGGGATCCACTCTGTTATTACTGCATTCAACTATTCAAGCATGGACTCAAGTGTCAGTTATCATCTTAAATATACCATTTCTAAATTCAAACTCAATTATACCCATAAAAAAATCAGTTCATCAACTCTTTGTAAGCAGACATTTCTGGTTCCAGGTTTGTTTGCAGCTTGATGCAAAAGCAGCACACAATAAGCTAAATAATAACTTTCTGAGACTGAACAGGTCTGGAGAATTTCTCCTGTGAGAGGATGGAGGAGGCGATTAAAAAAAATATATATATATGAATTTTGTTAGATGTTAACTTCAGAGCACTTATTCCTCTGGGTAACATGAAGACTCTGGGATGTAGGAGTAGTGAAATGTCTCAGACTCTGCCAGGGGGCCAACGGTCGCACATTTCAAACACAGCCCAACCTGTTTGGGACCATGAGGATCCACAGAAAGTGTAATAAATATAATGAAGACAAATCATTCTTTCCTTTGTTTGCCAATGTTATAATAAAAATGACAAACATTTATAAGCTATAAATTTGGCTCATCTCATCTCATTATTTGTTTTTCCTTTTTCATCACCATAAACATCCCTCACATTCCCTTTATTTTACACCTTAGTGTGAATGTTTATTTTTGAAGGCAGTAGTATACTAACGAATCAAAACGCAAACAGAACTGTGGCTGGATTTGATCTTCTGTTCAAACTTTCATGTTTGTACTGGTTGTTTGTCTCTGTGGTCATAGTGTGACTCACACTGTGGTCTGAGGAGCTCTGTAGAGATGAGTGTGCAGAGTTTATTGTTGCTGAAGTTGCAGAGCCAGGAGAGCACAGCCCGGCCGTAAACATGATCTGAAACTCCATGGTCTGAGGGACAAATCAAACACTGGACAAACCAACTCAGGTCAGGATTGTGGAGCCTTTCCGAACCTCATCATTGGATGAGAGGCAGGACACAGACTGGACCTTCACCAGTCCATTTAAAGGGTTTAGTTCTGTCATTTTTATTTAGGCCCACTGGCACGCATCGTGTTTTGTAAGGGAAATGTTGGTGCAGTTAATTTTTCTATTCTATTCTCTTTTTATTTTGTTTTTGTTCATGAAAAAAACAAGAAAATAAATTGTATTTTCTTTTTTGTTATATGCACTGGAATTGTTTTTAAAGGTAGGCTATCTGTATTCATTATGTGAAAGCAGATACTTTTATTTTTATTTTTTGCAAACCAACTACCGAAATCCGCCACCATTTAATTCCTTCTATTTAACTTTACTTTAATATAATCACCATTCAGGAGAAGTCCAAGAACCTTTACTCCTGGCTCGTATTTCCCGTCGGACAGTAATGTGGTGCTGGAATCACTTCCGGTGAGGTCTCACAACAACATCCGTCGGAGTTTAATGTGCAGTTATGCTCCCAAAATAAAGTTAGCACGGCGAAAGCCCGCGTCTGGAGTTAGTCTGAGTCACATGGGAACCAAACAGTCTGTGAACAGTTTCAGAAGTCCAGAAAAAACTTTAGTTCCGCTTATTTAGGACGCGCCATGAAGAGGGTTTACAGCCGCCTGCCGGTGTGGATCGTGGAGGACCACCACGACGTAAGCGGACCGGGAACCGGTCACTGGTCGGTGTTTGGTCGGTGACTGGTTGTGTGTTTGGTCGGTGACTGGTCGGTGTTTGGTCGGTGACTGGTTGTGTGTTTGGTCGGTGTCTGGTCGGTGACTGGTTGTGTGTTTGGTCGGTGACTGGTTGTGTGTCTGGTCGGTGACTGGTTGTGTGTTTGGTCGGTGACTGGTTGTGTGTTTGGTTGTGTGTCTGGTCGGTGACTGGTCGGTGTTTGGTTGTGTGTCTGGTCGGTGTTTGGTTGTGTGTTTGGTCGGTGACTGGTTGTGTGTCTTGTCGGTGACTGGTTGTGTGTTTAAAGGTGGTGTCACACATCTACCGGGCCATGGGGTCCAGACACCTCCCGCTCCGGGACCTAAAGATGGTTCACCTGGACTCGCACCCGGACCTGCTCATCCCCGTCAACATGCCCGCAGACACGGTCTTTGACAAGGAGGAGCTGTTCAGGTGGCACACACACACACACACACACACACACACACACACACACACACACACACACACACACACACACACACACACACACACACACACACACACACACACACACACACACAAACACACACATGGGTTCAGAAAGCAGGTCAGTTCAGATTTAATTAAACAGCCAATGTAAAGTCATTTCATTCTACTATGATGAGTCCATGAGGACCATATACAGGGGGGGAAATAAGTATTTGAGCCCTTGCTGATTTTGCAGGTTTGCCCACTTACAAAGAATGCTTATTTTTCCTCATCAGATGGTTATCCATTTTTATAAATTCATATGATGTGATTTTCTGGAATTTTCCTTGGGATTCTGTCTTTCACTGTTAGAATGTACATATGATTAAAGTTATAGATCGTTGCATTCTTTGTAAGTGGGCAAACCTGCTAAATCAGCAAGGGCTCAAATACTTATTTCCCCAACTGTACAGAGAGCTGGGCCTCGTGTTGTGGTGATATCGGGGGATATATCTTCTTCCCTGCTTCTTCTGGGGAACCAGGGAAATCTCAGAATACTGGGTTCTGTCACCAATGTGTTTGTCTTTGTATATTTCGATAGTTTGATCTGTTTTTATTCTGTAAAGCACTTTGGTCAGCTCCGGCTGTTGTAAAGTGCTATATAAATAAACATTGATTGATTGATTGATTGATAACCTGTCCCCGTGTCTCTGCAGTAACCTGAGCATAGAGAACTGGATCATGCCCATGGTGTACGCGGGTCACGTGGGGTGCGTGGCCTGGGTTCACCCCTACTGGGCCCAGCAGATCCGGGAGGGGGAGCACAGCATGGCTGTGGGCCGGGACTCCTCCACCACCACCATCAGGTCAGACCCAAACCAGCTAACCCTAACTAACTAACCAGCACACTATAACTAACAAACCAGCTAACCCTAACTAACAAACCAGCACACTCTAACTAACTAACCAGCACACTCTAACTAACTAACCAGCACACCCTAACTAACTAACCAGCACACTCTAACTAACTAACTAACCAGCACACTCTAACTAACAAACCAGCACACTCTAACTAACTAACTAACCAGCACACTCTAACTAACAAACCAGCACACTCTGACTAACTAACCAGCACACCCTAACTAACTAACCAGCACACCCTAACTAACAAACCAGCACACCCTAACTAACTAACCAGCACACTCTAACTAACTAACCAGCACACCCTAACTAACAAACCAGCACACCCTAACTAACTAACCAGCACACTCTAACTAACTAACCAGCACACTCTAACTAACTAACCAGCACACTCTAACTAACTAACCAGCACACCCTGGTCTGTATTCTGTGGCGGCTCCTCTCTGGTCCGTTGACTCTGTTAGCTTCCACCTGCTAACGGGCCGTTTTCTTTTTTTTTTTTTTACCTTGTCCTGTTCAGCATCATGGCAGCAGAAATTAAATCTGAGTACCGTGCTATGCTGAACAAAATTGCTTTTCCAAGGGAGGCTTTGTTAGTGAACCCCCCTTTATTACCCAAAACTTCTTTATTTATTCATTTTTGTTACCAAACTTCCATGTGTCCAATAATGCCGAACCTGACAGAGGGACAGGGGGGAGGGAAGAGTAGTGGAAATAAAGGAGAGAGATCCTTTAGAAAGAGAGAGAGGGGGGAGAGAGAAGAAAAAAAAAAAGAAAGAAAGACAACAAGACCATATGAGCAGCGGTTATGTCTGTAAAAAGGTCGTTTTCCTCCCGGTTCTCTGCAGGGTGACCAGTACGGACGACTACTTCCTGAGCGACGGCCTCTACGTGTGTGAGGACCAGCTGGAGAACGCAAAGCCTCTCAGACTGTTCGTGGTCAGAGTGAACCCGGTCCAACCAGGAGAGGGAGCCCTCACAGGTATCTGCTCTGATTCTGACCAGGAACAAGATAACCTACGTAAATAAATCACAAACAAAGCTGGTGTCTTCAGTAGTCCAGCAGATGGGAAACAAGTGAGTTAGAGCTAGAGTCAGGCCTTTAGAGGCGGCTCTTTCTTTGGCTTTAAAACATCCTCGTATCCCACAGAGCCTCGAAGGCCTTTTTTAAAATTTATTTTAAATTTATTTGTTTATTTGACAGGGACAGTACAGTTAAACAATGCACCCAAACAGGAGGCTGATGTCCAGGTGCATAAGGCTTGTAGCCATTAGCTAATCTGCAGCTTTCGTCCCTGGTTAGGCTTTTAAAAGCTGTTAGCATTAAGGGGGGGGGTTAGTAACGACACACAGATGCATAAGAAACAAGAGAAGTTAAAAAAAATAAATAAATATATAAATAAAATGGAGGGAAAGTAAAAGCTGCTGAGACCAAAGGGACTTAGATAAAAGGCTCTTTTGCATTTTCTAACTATTAGTATTCACCTTGTTGTCTTTCATCATCAGGACAAAACAGTGGGAAGGACACAGATCCAACTTTAGCAAAGAGAACCCGGTTAGAGAGGAGTAAGGATGGACACCCCAGCCCCCCACAGTCTCCAGAAACCAGAGAAAGACCTCAGACAACCACAGAGAGCCTCAATCCGACCAGAGAGAGCCTCAATCCGACCAGAGAGAGGCTCCAGCCAACCACAGAAGAAGAAAAGAGCAGAGAGAGGCAGGACTCAGACGGAGGTGAGGGGGAAGGATCCCCCGGTTACGTAGTTGAGAAAATATCTGCCTTTCTCCAGGACTCAGACCCATACATACTGGACATCGATCTGGATTTCTTCTCCTGTAAAAACCCCTTCAAGGAGTTATACACAGAGGTAGAACAGGCACTTCCAGGCTTCCCAACGTTGTTTTTGCTCCAGGTTTGGTCCTGAACTGACCTGAGGTTTTGATTGGCCCTGAACTGACCTGAGGTTTTGATTGGCCCTGAACTGACCTGAGGTTTTGATTGGCCCTGTGCAGGAGGAGTTCTCCATCCTGAAGGAGCTGTACAGCTTCAGAAGGCCCCGGCGGGACGCCGACCAGGTCAGAGGACCCTCCTCTGCTCAGTTCACATCCAGAGATAACCCTAACCCTAACCCTAACCCATCATGCCGGCAGGGACCCCTTAGAGCGGGACTAAGCTGCCTCACCCTAAAGCTAAAGCTAACCCTGAAGCTACCCCTAAAGCTAAGACTAAAGCTAATCCTAAAGCTAACCTTAAAGCTAATCTTAAAGCTAAGCCTAAAGCTAACCCTAACCTAAGCCTAAAAGTAACCGTAAAGCTAATCCTAAAGATAAGATTAAAGCTAACCCTAAAGCTAAGACTAAAGCTACCCCTAAAGCTAATCCTAAAGTTAATCCTAAAGATAAGATTAAAGCTAACCCTAAAGCTAATCCTAAAG